TGTCGTAGGTGGCTGAGCCACTTCATCATCGCTGTCGTTTTGGTCACACACTGCTGTGCTTGGCCCTGGAGTGTCCTCAGGGAGAGAGGACATTAGGACAGGAGGCTTAGTGGAAGGCATCTGCCCTATCACCTCATCCATGAGGGCAAACCAGGGCCAAGCACAGCAGTGGGCTTCCACTGACCCCTCTCCTGAGCCTGGATACTTGCAATCCTAAAGGCAGAGGAAATCAAAGATGACAGCAGGCAAATAAAAACACCACAACAACTCTTAGTAGTTGCACATTTATTAACTTGTGTTCTTAAGAATCATCTTCTTGATAACACACAGACGTACTTTGTATTTTTTGAACTTATCTCATGTCTTCTGGCCTGCAAGCGGGTGACTTTCCCCTGCAGGCCCATCTTCTCCAGAATTGTCCTGATCACACACAACAAATAAGAGAAGAAAGGAAACCATGGCAACTATGTTAATCCCTAAACCCAAAAGTTTTCACAGCAGAGGAACGCCGTCTGGACATCACAGGTTCTGCACAGCAGCGGTCCGTGGGTCGTTTGGTACCAGGCCACGAGAGTTGAGGCTCCGCTGTGAAATTTATGGTTTTCAGGGTTTGTATCGTTAACTCGGTTTCCCTGGGTCTTTCCCCTTGTTGTAGTTGTGCGTCTTATTTTGAAAGACATATTTACACGTTACCATAGCGACCAGAGAGCATTAAGCGGCAGAGAGGAGGATGTTACTGTCAATGTTGGCGCATTTCAGGAGGACGCTGCTAATAAAGTTACACAATTACACAGTACATTCACGTTTATTATTATATTTACAAAATACAACAGTTTTCGTCTTGGTCGGATCATTTTATGTGGTTGTATTTATCCGCGACACCTTAAAGGCTCCGTGTCTGACATAAACCGGCCTGTGGCGCACCAAAGGTTGGGGGACTGCTGCTGTGCAGCATGAGGGTTAATGGGACCGTACTCATATGAATATGATGTGTAAAGTGATTTATTCTTGTACATCCACGCCGTAGCGGCCCAGTTCTTCACCCTAGTGAAGAGGTGAACGTTTTCTCCTCATTTTCATAAATTAAGCATTTGGTCTTTGTTCCCCACAACATATCACCAATTTGAAAAAATCTAAATTAGCTGTATGTAAGCGGCAATACATGGAAAACCGCGGGACCTTGCTTCCTTCCCCTGAATTCGGACACAGCCAGTGAATGAGAGACAGAAGGGAAACACAGCTGGGGCAAATCAGAGCTAACGAGACAGGGGAAGCAAAACCTGAAACAATAACCTGAGACACGGACTTCAAAGTGAAACAGGAAACATAACACAGAGACGCGGACTTGACAAGGGGACACAGCAGCCAGGGGAGTAACTATGGAACACAGAAACCAGAAGACAGAGCTCTAATAAAGAAACCAAAGACTAGAAATGATATCAAAGTTCATAAATAACACAAAACTGAAAACCCAGGCACCCGAACACCTCCCCCTGATTCCCAAACTACCTCAGCTGTTTTTTGGGCTCTACTCTGAGCACCTCTTGGATGACTGAAGGGTGGCTAGTCCTCTTTGGGTGAGATCTGCCACCCTTTAGACAAAGCTCATTTCTGCTCTCTTTGTCATCTCATTCGTTCTGTCAGTTTTCCCACCTTCTAGGTTTCTTGTGGGTTCTTGGGTGCAGCGATGGCCTGGGATGCTGCTGACACGGGCTCTGGGTTCTCTCTCAGTGGGTGGTATATAGGAAATATGACTCTTTGTGCTGGCTCTCTCCTTCTGGGAGTCTTAAACATCCTGAACCCTTTCCTTTCCCCACTTCCTCTGAAAACACATCACTCACACACAAGGTATGAGCGGGAGGAGCACAAGCTACGTAGGGCGATGCACATGGATTTGATGGCCGCGCTGTGTGTCCATCTGTCTCCATTTCCCATTTTTCAACCCTGTCTGGGACCAGGGTTGGTTGGAGCACCTGTCCATCCTCAAATCACAGGGTGTGGTGGATGTCTTTGTGCAGCTTCTGTGTGTCTGTAGCTAGATCTGGGTTGGAGGCTCACTGAGCCTCGGTCCCTGTGAGAAACTGTCATTGAGAGTGGGGGTGGGGATTCACCTCCTACCGTTCCCCACTCGGCGTTGCTCGTTTTGGATGGTTGCTGGCCTGCTCTCCTGGGGGTTGTGGTCCGAGCCGAGGTGGCTTGGCCTTCTTCTTTGCCTGGACAGTCACAGGGCACAGATAATAATGTGAATAATAAAGTAAAATAAACAAATAAAACAGAGATGGTTAGAGCTGTGTTTAAGGATTAAAGGATATGACTTCTATACCAAACACCAAAGGAAACAAACAAAAAAATCACATTAAACAGAAACATTGTGATAGCTTCGCGGTGCAAAAATGCAAAGCGCCTAAACCTGCATTCTGTACTGATACTATGTTTCACAATGGAAGCTTATATTACATTATATTACACAAACTGAATTTCCCGGAGGAACCCACCCGAGGGATGAATAAAGTTTCATCTAATCTAATCTAGACTGACGATTTATGATTGACAGGTCATCAGGAAATGGGCAAACAGTTTCAGTCAGACCCGCCCTCTTCGTCATATCCTTCCCTTAAAACAGGACTAATAGATGATGTCGCAGTAGCTTTCACTGCAGGAAAGTACACATAAAATAATACAGAAAAATCCTTCATATTTACACTTTACTTTGAACTAGAATTTCCCTGCATGTATTCCTGTAGAGTAAACATTTAGTGTATTGTTACTAATTTATATTTTACTTCTGCAGCTTTATGTGAAACCGTGTCTGCAATTTCATAAGCACGTACTGGATAGGCTGTTAAAAGATGGATGTATTTCTACTTTAATCCATTATGTTGGAAGTGGCTTGATCTTCTGAAGTTACCCAGGGATTAGCAGTTAGGCTGCACAAGCACTGATGCTCTTTTCCTTTACATCTGCCAGCTGTGTGTAGAGTAACCTGTACAGTTTTGTGGTAGAACGTTGCAAAACTGGTTTTACAGACAGGATTAAGTTTTTACACTCCAGTGTTACCAGTGAGTGAAGGTTATCCTTTGAATCAGCACGTCTTTAGCCACAGGAAACTTTCTGAATAGCCCCAGGTCTTTATCAAAGGACAGAATCCATTTATCTCTGGTTATCATGAGCAAAGTCACATTTGAAACACTTCCATCTCTGTCTCACCAAACTACCCTAATCAAAGAAATCAATACCAGCTGAGTATAACTGTGAGCTTTATGTTATATGTTTACTGTTGTAAACTGTGAGTGGTGACAAACAGGGTTCAACACTGTGCAGGACTCCAGCAGCTGTGCTGCAAAGCCGGCTGATTTGGTGGTGATTTGGTAGCTAAAAGACTTCAACAGTGGTTATAAGAATTATTTAAAAAAGTAAACGAGAAAGACAAACGTGAGGTGAGACGGAGCTGCCTCTGGCTCTAATGCAAACTTGTGTAAGTGAATCAGAGGCTCTCAGTGCTTCGAAGTTGTTTATTCATTCCTAATGAAGTACGACAGAAGGTCAGAGGGACAGGCGAACACATCTGTGATGGTGTAAACCTGAAATCATGCAGCTGCTCAGAGTGCTGTACACGGGTGTGCGTGACAATGAGTAACCATGGTTACAAAAACTCTCATCATCCACAGGGAAAGAGCTCAGGTTATTATATCCCTGCAAAATCAAGAATGCGCAATACTTCAGCATTAGTGTTGTAACATTAATAACACTGACACTTTCAACAAGCTTATCTCTGATTCCAGAGGAAATAACGTGTGCACTGTGTCACTGCTGTTACTTAAGGGGATGGTTTTGCAGTTTTCCTCTTTACATTTTATTTAATGTGTCCAAAGTTATTCTTCCTGTTAAAACAAACTTTTCCCTTCCCATTGTCACCCAGTGCTTTCTCAGTTCAACATAATTCATTTAAGTTGAATATCATTAAACTGTGTGGACACAGAATCGTGCTAATTACTGCCGAGTAACATAGAAACCTACAGTTTCACTCACCAATCTGTAGAAGGGAGGGTTTCTGTAAAGCTAACCACACAGCAAAATATCAGCTGTCAACCAGTAACAGAGCATGTGTTTGGGATGTGGTGGGATGGGACATTTTGGCTTGTGCCTAACAAAGAAGGACAAAAGTGGCATTGAGTTCAATTAGTCATTCTAATTAGGTTTTATTTGGTTTTATTTAAGAAGGTATGTTCAGTCTGTTTTTTTTCTTTTGGCAAGTTCAGTGTTCAACAAATAGTTTCAGAAATGCAAATGAAGATGTTGCTTGAAGATGTTTCACCTCTCATCCGAGAAGCTTCTTCAGTTCTAAGGTCAAATGGTGGAGAGTCCCAGATATAAACCTAGTGGGAGTTTCCCCCCACAGAGGGACAAAAGGACCCCCTGATGATCCTCTAATCAGCTGAGCCAAGGTGTGAAACTGGGTGTGGGTCACAATCAGCCAGAGTTTCGGGTGTGTTCATTGTGAAACCTGGCCCCACCCTATCATGTGATTTCCTGAGGTCAGATGGCCCAGGATGTGAGTGGGCGTTAAGGCGTCTGGGAAGGGATCTCAAAACTGGATTATAGATGGCAGAGAGTTGGTGTCGTAAACCCCGCCTCTGTTCAAAGATGGTCGCTCACAGTGGACATAGATGGCTTCTTTCACTCCTCTTTCAAACCATCTGTCCTCTCTGTCCAAAATGTGAACATTGGCATCCTCGAAAGAGTGACCTTTATCCTTAAGATGCAGATGGACTGCTGAGTCTTGCAGTTGCATGACGAACTCTGTATTCCTCGTCCACACGTAAACACAAAAAAGGAGTTTTAAAAAAATCTCCGTTTTCGGTGATTCGAAACGCCGTTTACGTTTTCAAAATCACCCGTGTAGGTGCGGACGCAGCGTAAAAGAGTTAGTAGTTTATTTTATTACTACCTGCAGATTACCTGTATTTAGTTAATTGTTTCCTAAATGTTTGAGGTGTAAAATAAACCGCAATGGAGCAAAATATGGGCGTGTGTGGTTAAAGGATGTGTTTGCGCGTGCATGTGCGCGCGCGGGGGTGGCGTGAACATTTTTCTTGTAAAACAAAGGGGGGCCTGGCAAAAAAGTTTGGGAACCACTGAGTTAGGAAAACATAACATTTGAAGACAAGTCTCGAAAAAGTACTACAATACGTTATTATTAGTATTAATAGCTATTACTGCTCACAAACCCGCCTACAATACGAGCCAAATACGTGAGAGCTCGCTTTTATGGATTCAGTGGTGTTTTTGCCGCTGTGGAAAGTGGACATCACAGCAGAGGACGGAACATTACAGTCACGCAGGGGTTTCCCTTATATCAGCTGAGCACCGGACTGTACCATTACCCTGCCTTATGGGGGACACACTAGGGAAAACGGACACAGTTAAAATAATTACATCCAAGTGTGCCCAGAAATAATAATTATCGGGAAGCATTTATACATACAAACTTCGATGTAATTAAAGTTCACGAGCGCTGTATTCAGAATGTTCGGGATTTGTCCGAATACCACCCGCAATTCGTGTAGGCTTCCAAAAATGGCGGCGGTTTCTGTCAGTGTGGAGTGAAACTTTCCTATTTTCAGCGAAATTCTTCCTCCATTCTAGCATTTTGTCGACTGTAGTCGAGTGTTTATTAAAGTAGGCATCTTCGGAAGACACCGGCGTTTGACAGTCGTCGTCAGGACTGAGGGGGTGACTCTAAGCTCCGGTTTTGAGCACCAAATCGCTGAGCTTCCTTCGAAGTTGACGGTAGCTGAGTGCCTGACATTGCGATCATAGCGACTGTTGTCATCGTATCGCTTAGCGCCGAGCCGTCAGGTGAGATTGGACGTCGGTCGATTAGCAGTAGATAGCTTTGCGGCCAAAGGGCGTCGGAAACAAAGCGGTTGGTGTTTGTGTGTGTGGATCGAGCCGGGGCAGATTACAGATCCCGAGGACGTGTCACGTCACCTGTCAGTTGGAATAAATAGGTGCTGTTGGATGTCACCGCCACTCTGTGCCGCACTGAATTTGGTTTGCTAGCGTCGTGTAAGTACCGGCTCATTTTCACCCGTGTTCTCGCTTCACTGTGCGCCCAGACAGCTTGTTGTGTTTTGGGGCCTACAGTCACTTGCCTCCATATGTTTGTACTGCGCTTTTATTATGCTAGCTAGCTGTTAGCCGTCATTGGCTAATTTGTTGTATTATAATTTGTCTAATGGCATATTGCGGGAAAATAACTAAGTGCAGTTTTCATATATCGCCTACATCGTGGTGACTTTCTTTAGGGAACAGCAGCGAGGGACGTGATTGGTGTTTTCTTGATTTTCCGGGCTGCCTCAGAGCGGCTCATGGCTGCTCGGAGATTGTAAATGTCAACTTTCTGTCTCTAACGAGCGTTTCTAATGTCTCTTTCCTGATTTGTTTATGTTGGACAGCCATCCTGGCAAATCAAATGGAGAAGCTTCAGGACCTCAGCCAATCAGAGCTACAGGAGCTCCTGGACAGTCCGGAGAGGGTGGAATCGATGGCTCTGGAGTCCGATGAGGTGAAACTGGTGCTTCATTCTTCTTCCCCTTTGTCGAAACGCCGATTAAATTCCCTTAATGAGAAGTCAGGAGTTTGATTATGTGGCATTGCAGTGACCCTACAACCGGTTTCTAATTTAAATCTCAAACGGTCTATAAAGTCTTTCTGCCAAGGTTACATCAGCTCAGTGAAAAGTGACAAAGACGAGGCGGTCAGTGGGAAGCATTTTAGTTTTAAATGTTCAGTAGTTGTGTGGTACTTTTCTTCTTCAAAATAATAAAGTTAGGAGTTATTATAATTGTCCTAGAAGTGAGCAAATAGGGATTTGCCTTTGTCCCTGTAACCTTTGCTTTGTTTGCAGTCATGCAAAATTGTTGAGTTGTTCCGAGGAACTTCGTGTCCTTCATCACCTCCTATTTCAAATGACTGACTCATGTCCCCTTATCTCTGAGCTGGTTCAAACTGAGTCCAGAATACTTCAGGTGTTTTGTTTTGTGAAAGTGTTCTGATGATTTCAAATGTTGGCAGATCTCCTGAAATCATTAGGTTAGATACTGACATTGAACTGCTGATTTGACACAAGCTTGCAGAAACCTGAGCTACTCAAGGTGAACAGAGACAACACAGTCACCTGTGAGAGGAGTCTCAGTGGTTTATCTGCCATTTCTTCATTTGTCATCCAGTTTAATCCGATTTTTAAGGACTGAGTGCACGCCAAGACAGAGCAGGGTTTCAGGTTAAAGCTTGTAGAGAGTCACTTTGTCGGTTGTCACGCTGTGTTAAGTTTTCATAACTTCAACTGGGAGGAATGGGAAGAAATGACGTGCTTTGTGGCATGCTGCTAGCAACAAAGTGCCTGAAGATGACATTTCTAACTTTGCTAAGCTGCCTGTTGTGTGCAGACACAATACTGGTTCATCCCTTGAGTGAGCAGATTTTTCTGCTTGAGTGATTTATAGGTCAGAGTTAGGTGGCTTAACAAACCAAATAACATTCCCCTGAACATGATCAGGTACAAGTACTGAAAACAGCCAGTGTCCAAAGAAAAGCCTGAGAACTGTTGCTCACTTTGAAAATGACGCGTCTGACTGCGTGGAAGCAAAATGGAAAGAAATGAGGTGAAGGCTTTTTGGGCAACTCTTTATGCCAGCCTGACCGCAGTGACACTTTCAAACATGCTGCTAATCCCAGAGGCCAACAGACGTTTTCCACTGACGAATGTGTAATATTGAGTCAGTAAATAATGACGCTGCGACACAGTTTCCTTTGAGTTCGTCTCATATTAAGACTGTTGTGAAAGTCGTGTGATGTTTTTGGGGTCGTAATCGTGGAAAAAATGTCCCCATAGCTGTATATGTGCGTCACAAAATAATAAACATTATGTACTCACGCATGAAAAACAGCAGTCAGATAAAACTGATGAGCTGTGCAGAGAGTGGACAGACAGCAGAGCTGTCCCACTGATGCCACCAAAGTCCAGTCCAGGGCCGGATCCTGGTCTTGACTTGACTGAACGCAGCGTTAGGAACGTTGTTCAGCTGTTTCACATCGCAGGGCTGTACACACAAAGACACAGGCTCGTGTTAAAACTGTAAAGATATGCCTCAGCTGTGACGCGTACTCACAGTACAGGAACAGGACACGCACACACTTATGTCAGCCTAACAAACTTATTAACTGCAGTTATTTTACACGCCAAGAACAAGATGGAGAATCCGGCTCGTTTGCAGCACACACGAGGCTCCTGTGTTAGTCGCTGTGGTTGCAGTAGTGCTTTTGATATGACTCTATGTTCTACACGAGGAGAATCTGCTGACATCCTTCCACCAAGTCAGTCCATCGTTCGGTCTTTTAGAGAAGACTGCTGAGGCTTACTAAACGCCACATTTCAGTACTTGTATATGTGGTGATGCAGACACACTGAAGGATCTACACAGACACGTGTTTGATGCCGACACTTAAAGTTCTAATTCCCATTGCATCACATGCTTTTGTTTCAGATCCAGAACATCCAGCTGGAGAGAGAAATGGCTTTGGCATCAAATCGCAGCCTGGCTGAGCAAAACCTGGACATGAAGCCTCGCTTGGAGTCGCAGAAGGAGCTGCTGGTGGAGAGATATTCTCAACTAGAGGCAGTCAGAGAAACCTATAGACAGCACTGCTCCCTGAAAGGTAGGGGGAGGGATGAACACTGCACACTACTGACTGCACCTGACTCACTGTGTCACTGAGTGAGTTTTCGTCACGTGCGATGATCACATAAAAGCCACTGATTGTCAAAAAAGGTTAAAGTAGATTTGTCTTTTTGGACGTTGACTATAAATGTCTGAAATGGGAACTGGACTGATTCACGTACAGCACTCTTCTACTCTCTCTGAGCTCTTACTACAACATTCACACACACTCACACTCTGATGGATGAACTTGAACCTGGTTGAGTATCTTGGCGTGCAGACTGCAGGAGGCAGCGATCGAACTACCGACCTTCTGGTTAGTAAGTGACCTGAAGTGTCACTCAGAAGCGTTTCTTTGTTTTTCACCTGATGGGGTGTTGTTGTCAAACTGCTCCTATTTTTCCGTCTGTTATAGGACTTTCTTTTTTTACATAGGTACACTTGGTGTCATTTTACACATTTATTTCTGAAAATGTCAGAGCCGTGCATCATTTACTACAGCAGCGTTTCTTTATCATTTAATGTGTAGTTAAACGCACAAAGGGGAGTGTCACTGGTCGGGGTCAGGCGATGATGTAAAGTGAGTTTGACATCTACTAAAATTAAAGTCTCAGATGACTCTGAATCCCGGTGACCTTGACCTCAAAATGAGAGGTCAGCCTTTCTGAAAAGAGTTTCACATTTATACCACAGGTGCTCCTAGTATGAGGCTGGCAGTGCCAGTGCCCTGGGTGTGGTAGTAGTACACACAGTGTGGGCACTGGACCCATCCCTCACCGTGGCCCCTGAAAGCCTTGCTTTATGTGACTCAGGATTTTATTATTTCTCTTCTGCATCTGTATGTTTGAAGTGCCTTTGGAGAAGATACCCCAGGTACTCTTTCATGCATCCATCTAGGTTTGCATGTGAGGCTGTTAAATGTGTTCATGGATGCAGCTCAAAGTTCAAATGTCCTTGAAGTGTTAGGTGAGAGTGAAAAACACCATATAAACGCCAGCCATGTACCATGGGCCAAACTAAGACTGGGTGGGACGAACCTCATGGACCTGATAGTCAGACGGAGTTTCAAGAGTGAGTCGGTAATAAACAGTCACCTCAGTGAAGGAAGGTTCCCAGTTCGAACCTGTTGAAAAACCTGCTTGGCAGGTTAGCTGGTGATTTGACAGTGGCTCATTGTGCGACAGTACATGGTTATCTGTGTCTGTGTTTAAAAACAGAGGGAGCGCCAGCTTCAGAGAGCTGAGTCTTTATGTGCCCAATACATACAAATCCTAATAAACTGGCACCAGATGAATGTGCAGTGTTGCAGTGAGTCGTAGTTCTTCCTCCACCGCTGTGCAGGTGGAGCTGCCAGATAGATGGATCGATACATGAGGGGACCATGGCAGTATTGAGTCTGTGTACAGCCACCGAGCCAGAGTGAGCGAGGCACTGTGTGTAAAATGGTTCGTTCAGAATGTGTATAAACCCTCTTGATTCAAAGCTGAAAGTGTGCACTTCAGCACCGTTATTGAACGTTCGTTTGGAAACAGTCTGCAGAATCTCTGTCCTTAGCAGCTGGACTTGTACCTGTGCAGCCCACCCAGGTAAAGTCTATTTGTGGGACACACAGGTGGGAATTTCCCAGCATGCCTCTCAGTTTGCCTGTGTTTTTAATCCATTATAATAATGTGAGTCCACAGCTCTCATCAGTCTGAGCGTTTAATGTTTCCATCATCAGACACGCCCAGGCTCATACTCGGTCTCTTTCTAACTCTTGCTCCCCTCAGATGGCATGGCAGGTCAGGTGTCTCCAGAAGCGCTGTTCTCAAGACTACAGACAGAGGGCAGCAAAACAGAAGAAGAGTCAGAGGTCAGTGTTCGACTGTCAAACATGTTGCAGGTGCATCGTTTAACGTAAAGGCAGACGCGTCAATGTTTTTAACGTGGGCTCAGCATGTTCAGGTAATATGAGCGAAAGGCAACAGTTTAAAGTTGGGTTCTAAACGTCGACGATCACGAATAGATTAAAGAGTTTCCTGAAGATGGGATGTGTTGTTTCCTATGAGTCTCTGCATGCATGCAGACATGACAGCGTGGTGGAAGTCAGTGTGTGGGCTCAGGAGCAGCGTTTCCTGCTTCACCCACTAATGCATGTACCATTCGATGAAACACTGATGAGTTTTAAGTTGGATTTTTGAGGCTGTTTCAGATTAACTGGACTGTTCTGTGGTCTGACCAATCAAAATTATTTTTGATGCCGCCATCTCTGAGATGGAGCAGACAGACAACCTGGTATGATATCATTACACGATGCATTCTGTAGCCATGATTGGCTGTGCGTTAGTGCACATGGTACGGTGAATTTGCTCCTGAGTGAAGAGCCCATTAATGCTGACACATCAATGCAGGTTTTGGAATCACACAAATCACCATCAGATGATGTCTTTGGTTCAGAAGGTCTCAGCCTGTGAACGTCTATGCCAGTGTAAAGTTAGTTTCTCTTCATAAAAATTTATGGACACATTCACACGCCGATGGATGCATCAGAAAGCAACGTGGAGTTAGTTTCTTGCCCGAGGATATTTGGCATGCAGACTGGGATCAAACCACCAACCATCTGGTTAGTAGGTGACCTGCTCTGCCAGCTGAGCTGCAGCCACAGGTGTCAGGATGTGGTCAGCTTTCACTGAAGTGATCAGACAAAAGCTGGGAACGCTTTGTTGTCCCCGTGGAAGAGCGTCTGAGCTGCTGCCTATGGTACCCACCCCCTGAAAAGCAGCGATGGATGGGTGAGCTGGGATTCTACTTCCCACGAGCTCACTATGCTCCAGTCAGATGTGACTGACGTAAACGTCACCATCAGGCAGCGAGCGTGAGGGTCCACGTGACCTCCTGATGACTCTGCTCCTCCTCTTTACTCAGCCACACTCACTGATGCCTGTAAATATGCGACCCACCTGTTTGTGACAGCATGGTGGACACTAGGGTTGGGCGATATATTTACGCATGCGCAGGCTTTGTGATGGGCGGAGCAATGTAATTATGCACGGACTGATTTGCGTGTTTACAACACAGAAGTCCAAACATGGACGAACTCATTTCCAAAAACAATTATGGCTGTCAGCGTTAACGCTGCATTAACGTGATTAACGCCATTAAAGTCTGGAGCGCAGAACGAACGAACTTTGGACAAACTGCCCAAAATACGCTGACAGAGACATTTCAGAGATTTTGACTGTCTGTCATGCAATCGTGTTTGTCGTGATGACCCCTCATTGACTCGCCAATCACCAATTTGGGATGAAAAAGGTAAACCTAAGGATGTAACCACAGCGGTGTGTCACTCGTGCAGACGTATAGTGTGAGCAAAGTCCTCAAACACGACTAACTTAGAGGAGCATGCACGCGTCCACCATCCAGCTGAGTGTGTTAGGCTGTCACCAGCTTCTGCAGCTCCAACAAGCATCTGAGTGCCCTGTGAGGAGGGGCATCGCAGATGAAAGAGGGTGTTGTTAAAACAGCGCTATTATTTGTATTTCTGTTGACTGCTTCTATTAGCTACATTATTATTAGCAAACCTACTCATGGGCTCAGTCTATCGGCGATAGTCAGTATATTCGTCCAGTCGCCCGAACAGCTCGTGTCTCCGTGCTGTGTTTTGGATTAGTTGCTTCATTCATCAGGAAATTCAACTAAAGACTAGCTGGACTAAGTGCGCCCCTGGGCACACTGTGTTATCTAGTTGGGCAGCTCAGCAGTGCAGACCTATCTGAACTAGAAATGCTTTTACTTTGAAGGATTTTGCACTTCCTTTAACAGCGGCTGCTGTTTATCTGGGCTGTGGCAGGCTGTGGGCTTGTTTTCAGGGTGCCGTCACATTGTGCAGGTTGTGAAGCAGTGGGTCCCACCCCGCAGCACATCATTAGTCTGTGGCTACTACAAGTAATTTGACCTTAGAGGTAGTTTGATACCTGCTCAGCAGTAAGCACCGCTCATTTGTCTTACCTGTCTCGTCCCGCAGGCTCTAGCAGATGAGTTTCTGGAGGGATCTCTTCCGCTGGACTCCTTCCTCGACCGATTCCTCTCCCTGCGCTCACTCGCTCACAAAAGACGCGTACGGATAGAGAAACTCCAAGAAATCCTGCGACAGAGGAGCGAGGGCAATGCCACCGCCATGACGTCGTCAGCATGCCTGAAAGAGGACTCTGCCACCCCGCTGTCACCGTGGGATCAACAGACAACAACAGCAACGACGACGAATCAACAGCAGCCGAGTTCCAAACCTCAGAACGCCTCTCAGCCCGTGTCCTCGTCTGCAGGGGGCTCATCTGGGCTCCCCTACAGTCCGTACCCCGTGTCGGGCCCTACTCCTCCTGCTGTAGTGGCAGCAGCAGGTTCTGTTCCAGCCAATGCCCCGTCACAGTTCCCTCCTTACCCAGGTCCCACTTCAGCTTTCCCTCCGGCAGGGAGCTACTCTGGCCCTAGCCCCCCTTTTGGGCCTCCAGCTTCGGCCAGCTGCCCTTACCCGGCCCAGCCCTCCTTTCCTTCGCCACATCCGGGCTCAGCATTTGGCCAGTACACCCCGAGCCACGCTCAGAGTGGCCCTGCGCCCTACCCGGCCTCCTACAGCTACGGGGGCTACAGCTACCCATCTGGGCCAGCCTATTCCAATTCTCAGTCAGCAACAGGGAGACCCATGTACAGACCGGGATATGGAGTTCCACAGCCGTACTCCTGAAAGCACTGCTGCTCCGCTGTCTCTCTTCTTCTTAAATCTTTCCTCCTTTGCTGTCTCACCATTTTCTCTTCCCTCACTCCTGCTCTCCTCGCCCTGTCCTTTCTCCGATGCTCCCAGACTCAAGAGGTCTCTCGCTTTACTTTGTTGCACTATTTCTCTAATATCAGTCTGTCTCTGTTTATTTCTTTGCCCTTCCTTTGTCGACCCACCAACTCCCCCTACTCTGGTCTCAGGTTGTTGCGTTTGTGTTTAAGCGTTCAAACACTGTCTCTGGCTCACTCACCTTCTTCCTTCTGCACATCGTTGTCTCCTCCCTCCTCTTCCATGTCATTTGTGTGTGTGTGTGTGTGTGTGTGTGTGTGTGTTGCTGTTTGGCAATCAGAAAGTCCTTATAGACACAAGTGCACTCCCCCTTATGACAAATACATGGCAAGAATCACACTCTGTGACAGTGTCCCCATCCCCTGCCATAGTCTGTGTGGTTCACATTGTTTTCTGTGAGCACCGACGAGATATGGAAGCTTTATGTTCTGCTTTGATGACCTCTGGGCGTAAATGATGCCATTAAAAAGGAGAAGGCCGGTACACAGTACGATTCTTACATGAAGTTAAAGTGCAGGGTTTGAAGTTCCCATATTCTTATCTGTAGCTGCCCGGATATTCAGCTCTTCCAGTTGCAAGCGAATGTGAACGCGGCCACTTTGTTTCCTTTAACCAAAGAAACTTCTGCTGATGACACTGCTTTCATTCCTCTTCCTTTCATTAGTGTTGGACAGAGGAAGCAAACTGCAGCAAGAGATGTCACAGTACTACGTTTGTAGTAGTGCACACCAATGCCAGTAGCAGATACCAGAGTAGAAACAGCCGGTGACTATCTCAACAGCAGCAGCAGTGTGCGCACTGCCCCTTTAAAACAAGAGCCCACCGTGTGTAACCTACAGTACACTACACAGAAAATACCACGTGTATTTCCAGGTCACAGTACATGTACAGCATTTGGAAGCTACTGTAAGCATTGGTGCTGCGACGTCCCCAGCTGCAGCTGTGTCAGCAGCTTCTCCTCTCAGCCCTGCTTAAAGCACTCGAAGAGGAAACAGGCAGACTTGGAAAATTCTTCAGATTCCTGATCCCGACTGTGATGTCCTTTCCTACTTTTCTGTAAAGTCAACAAACATGTCTGTTTCTGTGAGTGGAAGCCTAGCTGGAGAACCGACACTGTAGGCAGGTTTCTGGTTTTCTCCACACATCTTCACGATCTTTTGTTTTGTATTTTTCCAATAAGTAATTCAAAGGGAAACCCAGGAAGGGTCGCTTGTCAGAACGGTCACACTCTTGATTTCCTTATAAGCATGTTTTATCGTGGAGAAGCTGACACAAAGGGATTAGTTGGTGTCACTCATGTTGCTGATTGGTCCACGGAGGCTCTCCAAAGTCAAGCTTTGTGTTGGCTTCAAACACTTTGGCACTGCAGACCATCGTAGGTGAGGTGGAGGTGTTGAAGGGAATTTAGTATGTGTGTATTTTTAAACTGAAGTGCCAACATTGTGACAGGCAAACGCGTAAATCTCACATTTCTTTGGTGACGAGCTGTACCTTACATCCCTCCAAGTGACTGAACTGAATCTAAAGTGATCTGGCACTCAGAAATACTGCACCGCTAGAAAGCCCCAGAAAGCTGCATTAGTGAAGCGAGCTCAGAGTTCAGGCGACTGAATGATGATGATGATGTTAAAGAGGGGGAGGAATCCCGGTGTGGTTGTGCAGCGGAGAGCGGTGTGCAGAAATCCTTTTTGTTTCAGTGCATGTCAGACACGCAAAGAGCAAAGTTGAACCTGCTGTTAATCAAAACACGGTAAATCTGTACCTGAAGACGGGCTGTGCAGGCTTCAGCTGAGAGCTGGCTAATGCTAGGGCGAGCACTGTGCGGATACATTCAGTCATTATCGTAGTAGCCAGTGTGAGCCACGCTTCTTCAGATGTTACATGATTTAGAAGAAGTTGGATATCAGCTGACTTCCCTGCCAAGGTCAAAGATCACCTCTTCCTGCTTTAAGAGCTGTCGCTAAGACTGCTAGCACAAAGGCTTTCACAGTGGCAGTAGCAGGTGTTCAGTCAGTCAGCAAACAGTCACTGTACACTCAGTCACACAGAGGTTTCTGTGGTGTTTGGAGAGGTCATTTATTTTTTATTTAACCAGGTTAGTATAACCATCCTCTGTTCCTCTGCCTGTCTGAAAGAGCCTGTGATGGACGGCTGGCTGTCAGAAAGAAAGCAGAAGTGTAAAGTGGCTCGCTGTGGTGAAGGAGCACATGCTCCACCACAGACACGAGCATCAGACTCGCTGTAAGGTCTGCTGGAAACAAAGATGGAAGGTTCGCTCTTCTGAAACTCACTCGTGTACCGTCTGCACATAGAAAACACTTAGAGGCACAGGTACAGTCAGCTGTTGCGTGTAACTGACCTGTCTGTTACTAGCCACAGAGCGCTAAGCCACGGCAGTAAGGTTCTCTTTATAAACCGCTCGCTCACCGTGCTGATGTCTGTCACAGAGCAAAGACACTGAAGGAAAGAGACCAGCATTAGCTCCTCTGCAGGAACCAGGTACCCCGAGGGCAGTGACTGCAAATGTACTTTAGACCTTTCATGGCAGTAGTCGATGTAATTGGCAGTTCACTGTTTGCTTTTCCTGGTTTACGATTACTGCCAACTCTGAATTGATTAATGCTTGATAGAAACTAACATATAAACAAATATTTCAGCATTAGGTGAATTAGTCTTTTATAAAGGGTGCCTTACTCCTCACAGGTAAATGTGGGCTGTAGCTGACAGAGTGCATGTGATGGCTCACCTGAATCCAGCTCTCAGTACCTCAGATGTCCACACAGTGGCACCAGCTGACAGACTGGCGCCGTCTGATTGGATGAGAGCTGACGCTGCACCTCTCTTGGTGCTAACGTCGCCCTCTGGTGTTACCTGTGGAGTCTTACTGCACACACACACAGCAGATGTCTCGCTGGTTTCAGTTGGTTTTACGTGAACACGAGTAGGTGACGACTTCACATAGAGATGCTGCAATAACCCGAGCATGACGAGCTTTCACATACGATAAAGACATGACGGTGGTGGATTTGTCCTGAGGACTTCAGTGTTGTTAGGAAAAATGACGACAACAATAATAATAGTTTTACAGTGTTTTAGAACAAGCACAAGGCAGATGTCTTAATATAGTTAGCATTAATATTCTGGAGGGAAATATCAGATTGATTTAATGGTTCTGATCTGGAGGGATTCTATTACTGATGATGTAGATGGAAAAAGAGAAAATGTTTTCTTTCTTGTTTTGGTTGTGAATAATTAAACAAGTTGATTTGAAGTAAAATGCTCAGAGTCTTTATTACGTTAGGATTCATGGAGTCATACTGCTATAAAAATGATTTGTGTGAGGTGCATCGAGTCATGAAAATGAATCTTAAATGTTATCAAAACCTTCACTCATCAAAGTTAGGTGTGTAAAGTTCTCTAATACCAAGAAAACCCGGTTTTAACTGGATCAATGAGGAGCCACTGATATCAAGACAAGGAAGCTCCTTACATGAGTGGAGGGCTTCACACCAGGACCATGAGACTGCACGCTACATGGAAGGAAGGAGGCCGAGGACTGGAGAGCATCCGGGATGGAAACACAAACGCAGGACGATGGCGTCCAATGGTAGCGTGCTTACTTACAGCAGGAAACTGGGAACGAAGGAGAGGAGGCATCGTGGAAGGACGTAAGACTCCACAGCATGCACCACTCACAGACAGCGGCTGGACTCAGGACGCCAGAGCCTCCTCAGGTATTTTAAGGATGTACTTCACAAGTTTCCCTTTTTAGCACTTTGGGATTCACCTTGTTGGTGTAAAATTATTATTTTATGGCTGTCAAAGTGTTTTCTTTCATTTCTCACAGACTCGAGTACAGAAATGGGAGCACATGGTGTGTTTTTTGACAAAGTTACTAAAGATTTAAGATTTAAAAATGGTACATGGTGCAGTTTTCATGCTTGAATGATTCATAGATCAGTGTCAATGTGCAAAAAATCATTCTTCTGATCATGTCTGAGGAACTAATATGTCAATAAATGTCACATCTTTCACTTCAGTAGTCCACGTGCTGCACTTGTTACAGTGTGTTGTGATATACCATGATATTGATTTGAGACATTATGGTTTTTCAAAGACTTTTTCATTTACAATTCCTTTTAGATGGGTCAGTGAGTTTTGTTGTATACGCTGCAAACACTATTCCCAAACATCACGTTCTTGCCTGAGAGACTGATACGAGCTCGTGGATGTGCTGTGGTTGATGGTTTGTGAAGCTCATGACGCCAGCTCCTGTGAGGGGAAAACGCGCAGACATTTGGGAAATTCAGTGCAGAGAGGAGTAGGAGTTGAAAGTTGTGGGGGTTTTGTCGTATCTACGGCGCCGTAAACCAGAGGTGGAGAATGAGAGAAAACGAGAGTGACGAAGGTGACGGAGTAAAGTAGTGTGCAAAGTCCACGCCGAGATGAATCAACAACACAAGATATTTTTGTTTGTCACAGACCCAGAGGATGATGTATGAGTTCACTTAGTCACAGTTCCTGCACAAACTTGTCATCTTGTGGTGTCGTAATTTATGCTCGGATCTTTGCACATGGTGAAGTCTAAGGAAACGCTAATCTGCTGCTAACATGACAGCACGCACACAGGGCCTCCAGATCCTGCTGTGGGATCAAATGTACATGTTTTTGTCACATGTATACAACACATCATTGTTTAAAAAGCCGCAGTGATTATAGCACGTTACACACCACGTCTCACTTTCTACTATGTGAATCTAACATTCACACTGTGATGAAATCATTTTAGCATAGGATCAAACCACCAACCGTCCCGTCAGCAAATGAGTAGCTCGAGCTCCTGAGCTACAGCCACCCGTCCCTCCCTGTACTGTTTATGTTATATGAATTCTTACTTTGGAACATTGTAACTGCTTCATGTCTTGTACTGAAAAGATCTCTGACAATGTGCTTGATATTTACGCTCTGCAGCTGTAGCTCGCTGTAAGCAGCACAGTTCTTGTGTTTCCCCAGTGCATCAGATTACAGCGTGTTACCTGAGAGCTCACTGTTATTTATTTATTTATTTATATATATATATATATATATATATATATATATATATATATAAAAATAAGTAAACACATAATATTTATCATAACCTGGTATAAACATCTTAATTTGTCATGTCTGAAAACGTTTACATTCATGAACCCAAACAGCCAACTCGATGCTCGGCTCTGCTCCAGCAGCCAAACTGTATTCCCCCCCAGTCTGTGTCTGCACACAGCACGGCAAACTGAGTGTGTGCTGACACATACTGTCTGAGTGTGCCGTATTTTGTGTTACAACTTTGTATTAAGTTTGTTTTCTTGTCTTTACATTTTGCTAATAACATGGCTGCACTGCTTTTATTCTTCTTCATGCTGCAGCGTCCCTTTGAAGGGTGACGATGAACGACTCTCAGCACCAACTTTATTTATTAAGCACTTTAAAATCAAACGTGCTAAACATAGACAAATAACATAAACAGAAAATAAAATCAAACATGTTAAAAATAGAGAATTTAAAAAAAGCCAACACTTGATTTTACTCGAATATATATTTTTTATTATTGTTTGTTTAATTTAAGACAAAAAAAAAAATTAAATGAATGAGAGGTAAAACTTGAGGGGGTAGGGACAAATAAGTAAATACTTCAGCCTACTCCTTTTCAAACAAATAATGGAACGATATTTTGTAATGATTGTGAAGGCACCTGTTTGAAATGTTTGAAGTAAAAATGAGCTGAACTGAAATTTATTTATATAGCACATTACCAACAGGCTGCACAAATCGCTTTACAATGTGAAATACCACTACAACAAATAAATGCACAATAAAGATGCAGAAAATAAAAAATAAAAAATGAATAAATATGCTGTGTGAATTTTAGAGGTCATGTGACTTTATGCTGTGTTATAAGAATTTAAACTTATCTTAAAACTGCTGTAAGCCTGTTATACATTCGATTATCTACAATGTGCAGTATCGTGTATAATACGATATTGATTTTATTTTGAGCATTGTTTAATGTGGGAGGTGCAGAAACGCAGCCATCCTGGCCGCACAGAGTTTGTGTCCTCACGCTAATCCCACTTTATTCAGGAGTAATGTGTTGTGTAAATTTTACTTCTACGAGTGTGCTGTGTGCACGGATTTTTTTCAAGGGGGAGAATAAAGATGCAGACATTGTTTTATAAACTGTGTTGTTCATATTTGAATCAGTTAGTCAGCCACAGGAACAACACAGTTTCATTACAGTCAAAGCTCACCACAAATCTGTTTGTGGAATGGCCTTCCCAAAGCCGGCTGTGTGCCGGGAAGCCAGCCACTTTAAAAGAACTCTGCTCGAGAGGTTGAATGTCAGGCGGGTTGTTGATGACTACAAAAATGTCCAGTCAAGTTACAACAGAGACACTTAACCAAACGTTAGTGGGGTTTATAAATACATACTTTAGAAACAGTTCATGTATTTTGGATGATCCAAAATAAACTCTTCTTTGTAAAGCTGAACAGCTGTTCCACCCTGGAAAAAGAAAAGCCCTAAACTAACATGACATTCGACCACGTGATGAGTGGATGTAAACATCTGACCACGACTGTAAATATGTACGTTATGTGTGTTTACGTATAGATGTTAACACGTGTGGGCTCGTTACCCCTAAAGTCAGGTGTCCGAGGAAGCTTCCACAGCGTGTGTGTGTTGGTGTCTTTATGAAAAGCAGAGGAACACACTAGTGTAAGATTTCAGCCTCAGAACTAAAGCTAACCGAGAGCGACGCCACCTGAAAACAGGTTTATGTTGCTGCAGTCGGACTCGGCGGGCGACAGAGACTTGTGAGTCAGAACTGCTGAAGTGAAAATGAATACACACATGCACGTAAGTCTTCCCTTCACCTCTTCCTCCTACCCCTTCCTTCTTCCTCGCTTCTTATCGTGCTACTTTCCCCACCCCTTTCTGCCTTTCTTCACTCAGCTCGCTTTGAAGGGAGGAAATTTGCACTTTTGCACAAGCACGAGCAGCAGCAGCAGGCTGGGGATGAAGTGATTCACAGCCTGGAGAAGGGGGAGGGAGGGCAGGGCAGAGGAGTTTGACACTTCTGCATCATTTCCTTTCACATCAGGTTTACTGTTGTTGCTGCCTTGATCTGATTTGTGTCGTCTGTCTGCCTTCTCACTTACCTTCTGGTGGCACGTTGATACTGTGATGGATCTGAGGGCTCTTGTGATCATCTCTGCGCTCTTACTTGTGACTAATGGTAAGTCTGCTTTATTTTGGGGCAAACTGAATACTAAAAGCAAAGCAGGCCTCTCAGTCAGACCGGTTTGTCTCATTTCGCTGTAACTGTGGATGCATTGTAGACGCAGTGCTTAGGGGCACGAGATAAACTCCTCACTTTGTTGCGAGAGGTCAGTAAAGTCCGTCCTTTCATTTAACTTTGCTTTCATCAGACAAACCTTGATGAGCGAGCAATAATCGAGAGCTTAGAGCTGTAATGTGGAGCTCGTGGTTTGACATGTTGTCATATATTCACCATGAGGATGAATGAACGCTCGGAGCTGATTTTATGCTAACAAACATCAGGTAAAGAGTGAGCGTGTGGAGGACTCTGTGATCACTGCATCACACTACAACAACACGACCATCTTACAGTGTCAGCCCTGTTGTTGTGCGTGTGTCACTGCTGAAAACATTCAGTGACCTGCATTGTAACCTTTATAGTAACGACTATAAAGGTAGCGGTCACTGTGTTACTAACTCACGGGAACACGTCCGTGTCACCAATAATTAACTTGGATATTTTACAGTCCGGAGAGTCTGCTGTATCTCATCGTATTGGTTTCACCTAACTGGCAGCGTCTCCTCTACCACACCACCAACAATGAGCTAAATACTGTCAGCGTCACTAAGAACTCAAAGCTTTGAGCAGCAGCGTCCTGCTCCTCTGCTGAAGGCCTCTTTGTGGAGCTGAACTTAGCTAACAGGTGCTTCCTCAAAAAGTGAAGCAAACACTTATTTTCACCCCACAAACTTAAAATACTAAAGATAGTACAGTAAGTATAGTAAAGATAATGTGAATACTGGCCTCCTATTTGTTCACCGAGTTTAACATGTGCACTGACGCCGTGGGCTCCAGTGTCTCCCAGCAGCACAAAGCTGTGGTCCACGGACCCTAAACACTCACAAATACTTTAGACATGGAAACAAAAGGAGCAGCAGGAAACTAGCACTGAGCATGTTTACTCTTT